ACTAAGTAGCATCTTTTTAACCTGTTGCCTAGCAACTGAGTAGTGGCAATAGAAGTCAGGACTCATAATTGGTTGGAAACACAGGCACTAACCCTAGCTAACAGGTCCCTCTAGCAAGCCCGCCCCAGGTCCTCATGATTTGCTTCTGAAGCATTCAGTTGCTCTGAGCCAGTACTGCAGCATGCACAGGTTGCTTGTTGGCTCTCCTACCATGCCTCTGCCTGGAAATTTTGACAAGAGGTTCTGGTTTCTACAAGCTCTAAGACCCACATTGGAGTGTGAGCCTAAGTCTCCCAGGGGTCCTAATGCACGGCCTTAGAGGCAGGGTGCTGTGCTGCAGCCTTGGTTCTGCATAGCACAACGACTTCCACAAACCCTATCCTGCTTCGTGGAGCCTTGTCAGTATCCAGATAATGAGCCCAGAGCATTTCCATCATGAAAAGGGAGGGGGGGGAGAAAGAGGAAGAGAAGGAAGAAGAGGAAGAAGAATGAGGAAGGAGGAAGAAGAAGGAGGGGAAGAAAGGAGAGGAAAAGGAAGAGGAGGAAAGAGGAGGAAGAAGGAAGAGGAAAAGGAAGGAGGAAGGAGGAGGAAAGGAAGGAAGGAGGAAGAGGAAGTAGGAGGAGGAAGAATGAGGAAGGAGGGGAAGGAAAGAGGAGGAAGAGGAGGGGAAGGAGGAAAAAAAGGTTAAAAAAAGTGTAAGAGAATTCTACAACAGTTTGTGTATTTCCATGGTTGGGCACCATCGGCCTGTCTACCCCTGGAATGTCAGAAGTAAATAGACCCTTCCATGGCTGTCAAGTTCAATGGCATCACTATATGTAACACTTCACATAGCTTTGATAAATATATTCATCAAAGCCATACTTGCACTAACTCTTGGAAACACTTCTATTGAAGACACATTTACAAAACAAGTATGAATCAGAACATTTAAAGTGGGGCAAAGTGGAGTAAGACACTGGTCGGCATTCTGGAGGTTACCCAAAGGACCCCTGGGAGACTTAGGCTCACACTGCAATGTGGGTCTTAGAGCTTGGAGAAACCAGAACTCTAGTCAAAATTTCCAGGCAGAGGCATGGTACGAGAGCCAACAAGCAACGACAGACTCATCACAACTCTTATTTTTTGGGGGGAGAGGGGTCTGTTTGCTTGTGTAGCAAACCTAGAGTACACTGGGTATACACAATGCAAGCAAGGCAGGGTATGGGTGGTATTAACTTAGCCCTTTGCCATGGCTACTACCAAAAGTCAAACTGTACCAACTCTGCTGCTCCAAATGGTTTAACATGATAGAAAATGTGTGTCTTGGGCTGGAGAGATGGCTCAGAGGCTAAGAGCACTGGATGCATCTCTAGAAGTCCTGAACTCAATTCCCAGCAGCCACGGGGTAGCTCACAACCATCTATAATGAGATCTGGTGCCCTCTTCTGGCCTGCAGGCATACATGCAGCCAGAACACTATACATAATAAATAAGATAAAAGTAAGAAAAAAAGAAAATGGGTATCACCCACCACACAGTTCTTCATATATTTAATGTAAGTTATTGCTATTATTATCATTGTTTTATGGATTTTTAAGTCAGAGTCTCATGTAACCCAAGCTGCCCTGAATTCCTGATCCAGCAGCCCCTGCCTCCTATGTGCTGGAACTGACTTTAGGGTTACACCATCCACACCCCACAGTGTGAGTCATTTGGCATGGATCTCATCCTGGTTTTAATTTGAAAACCCTGCAATAATGGGCTGGGTGCACAGAGTCCCTCACATTACACAAACAAGTGACTGGGCTCAGGATGGGCCACGCTACTTTACTTCCAGCACATGTGGAAGGGGCTGGCAGTGTTGAGACTCATGTTGCATGGTCTGTTTGCCCCCGCCCACCCATAGCCCTTTGGGGGCTACAAGAATGCCTCTGTAGTTCAAAATGAGATGTAGTAGTAGCTGGTTATTAGCTCATTTCCCCATGAGGGGAGGACACTGACTGGATTCAGAGTCTAGAAATCCAGGTGACATCATGAAACCAGGCTTGACAAATGTTCAGGTGCCATCTTTTAAAGAACACAGATTCCCCAGGTGCAAGTTATTCTAGTCAAAGTCAATAGAACATGCTGGTTTTGTCTAAGGATGAAAGGATAGAGCACAGGAAAGTTCTAGCATTTAGAATTACCTTCCTCTATTTTACAATATTAAGGTGTTGATTTTTTTGTTTTGTTTTGTTTTTGTTTTTCGAGACAGGGTTTCTCTGTGTAGCCCTGACTGTCCTGGAACTCACTCTGTAGACCAGGCTGGCCTTGAACTCAGAAATCCACCTGCCTCTGCCTCTCAAGTGCTAGGATTAAAGGCGTGTGCCACCATCACCCGGCAGGTGTTGATTTTTTTTCCTTTTTTGGATAATTTCTATACTGTTTTGTTTTCAAGATAAGGTCTCACCATGTAGCCCTAGCTGTCCTGGAACTCGTTCTGTAGTCCAGATTGGATTCAAACTCAGAGATCCTCCTGCCTCTGCCTCCTGGGTGCTGGGATTAAAGGCATGTACTACCATGCCCGACTATAAGCTTTTCAATAAGGTCTTTTCCTTAACCTGTCTTAGCCCATGCTGCAGAAAGCCCCATTTCCTCTCCTGCTGTCCCCTCCCCTGAGAGGCCATGAGGCCCATGGGAAATGCGCAGCCTCCAGACAGCACACAAACATGTGCAAGGGCCACAGGGAGTCATAGCCCATTTTCTGGTGCTGCAACAAAATACCCAAAGCTAGCCAATATGTAAATTAAAGAGGGTTGTCTACCTGTGGTTTTGAAGGTCCAGAAGCAAGAGCCAGTGTCCGCCTGCCCTGTGGTGAGGCCTGACATTATTTCAACTCAGGCAGAGAATGGAAGGGGCCTTCTGAGCACCCATCTTCCCATCACTGCCTGCTGTCAGCCTCTGCCATCGGAATTCTGTTTGCTCTCGCCCCAGTGGGGCACCTGCTCATGTTGGTCCCTGTTTACATTGCTGTAGTAAAGGATGCCAGCGGGTGGCCTCAGGTTTCTGAAATCTCTGCAGTTTGGCAATCAGCTCCAGCTTTATCCCTACACACTTATATTGATTTGATTTGCACTCTTGGTGAGGTCTGTGCTACACTCATGACAGCCAGAGTCAACAATATGCAAATCTCTCAGTCCTGCTGTAAAGTTAGTTGCCAAGCAACCCATTCAAAACTGAAAGGAAGAAATGGCAGGCTCGGAAGCAGGACTTATTATGGGATGGGAGTACCTTCCAGACTGTGACCCCAGGAAGAAGAGAAAGTCAGCTGTTCACACCATCTGTTTCCTGACCAGAGACCTTCTAAGAGGCCTCTAGAGCCGTCCCCAAACCGCCCCCCGACACACACACACCTGATACAGCTGCTAAGTATCCCTGGCTATCTTCTTGAACTCCATAGTATTTTGAATCCCTCCTATGAGTGGGGCTTGCCCAAAGGTAGGCCAAGACCAGCAGAGTTGAATTACTTATGGATTTTCCTGTTGCTTTAGGAAACTCAATATCCGGAGGTAGTTTGGTGTCCTTACATAACCAGTCCTGCAGATGGCAGTATGGAGATGTCTCTGAAATGCTCGGTAGGAAAACCAGGGCCACTCCAGCTGGCAACACTTGAATAAAGATTCCTCGGCCATTTGTACCTGAGGGCTGGCTTGGGCAGGGGTGAAATCTCACTCCACCCCATGGGCTGGGCCCCTGAGCAATCAGCTGTCCATCTTGGGTGCAGTTAGCAATGCTACCTTGTCTTGATTTGGATCCTGTGAGCAGAGCACCCTCACCCCAAATTACAGAATGAGCCAGCTCAGAGTACTTTCAGGGGGAGACTTTTCCTGAGCAGTGTGAGCCTCGATTGATCATGCCCGCATTCCCACCCTAACACCGTGAGGGATTGTCTTCACTGATGTAGGAAACCTGGCTAATAAAGAAACAAACATACAAACACACATTTTCCCCTGGAGCTAGGACCCAGCCTTACCGAGGCATCTGTCAGTAGTAAGCCTCACCCCTGCACCCCCCACCTCCCCACACATACAATGTCTCCTTACCTCCTCTGCCATCTATCCGTTGACCTACTGTGGTGGTTGGAATAATAACGCCCCTTTTCCCCCCAGACTCGTGTATTTGAATGCTTAGTCACTGGGAAGTGGAACTATTTGAGAAAGATTAGGAGGTATGACCTTGTTTGAAGAAATGTGTCTCTTGGGGATTTCAAAAGCCCATTCCAGGCCCAGTCAGTCGAGTCAGTCTCTCTCTCTCTCTCTCTCTCTCTCTCTCTCTCTCTCTCTCTCTCTGAATAAGGATGTTACGGTAACGAGCTACTGCTCTAACGCCATGAATGCAAACATGTTTCCACCATGCCCCAGCCATGGTGATAATGGACTAACTCTATGAATCTGTAAGCAATCCCCCTCCAGGCTGAAACCAGACGCCAAGAGCATCGCCAGTTGTTTCCGTCCATTCAATCTTGACTTAACCAAACACACCGCTGTTCTTACTCCCCATTTGAAAGTAGCAATAAATCATCTTCAAAGCTCACCAATTAGGCATCTCCTCCCTGGGGAACGTTCTGCTGTCGTTTTGCCTGGGTACAAATTTCCTTCATACGGATTAGTTTTAAGTTACAAAATCTACAAATAAGAAAAAAACCAACCATGCATGGTTTCATTTCCTTCTTATGTTAACAATCTCAAGACACCATTCACCCTCAAGAAGTTAACTATCCACCCTAGAACTAGAATTCACCTGCCATTAGCAGATTCTTTGAAGGGGACTCTTGGTTGGCTGTATAGCGTTGTTTAGTGGGTGAAGACTGGAAGAGCCTGTTTACTTTGCAGGTCTTTACCCTCGGATTCCTTTTCTCAGCCCATCCCCATCTGCTCACAGCTGACGTCCAGCTTATTAACAGTGGGCTAGTTTCTGTCACTCTTTCCTTGGGGGAAAAAGAATGACCAATGGCTTTTTATGTCTGTGCTTGTTTCAGAAAGCCAAGCTGGGCCCCGCTGGTAACAAAGTCATCACCCCTTCAGAAGACAGGAAGCAACCATCCAACAACCTGGACAGAGTGAAACTCACAGACTTCAACTTCCTCATGGTGCTGGGGAAGGGGAGTTTTGGAAAGGTAAGAAGGGAGGGGTTTCCAATAAAACTCTGGATCAGCACTGCTCAGTGTGCACCAAGGCGTCCCTGTAGTCACACAGGCACGCGCCTCACACACTTCACACTTCGTTAAAAACAGCGTTGGAGAGAGGAGTCAGCAGTTAAGAGTACTTGCTCTCCTTCCAGAGGACCTGAGTTCAGTCCCCAGCACCCTTCGGGCAACTCGTAACCAACCACCTATAATTCTAGCTCTGGGAGATCTAGTACCTCGGGCACTCATACTCCCACACATGTGTTCCACCACACACATGCACACATACATGCAGAACTAGAAATAAAATAAATCTGTTTTTAAAAATTTGAAACCAACCGTGCTGAGATTGGAGAGATAGCCCAGTCTTACTGAGCTTGCCAGTAACTCTGAAGCTCTGGGAGGTGTGGTGGCAAGCACGCTAGCCCCAGCACTGGGGACAAGTGGATCCCAAGGCTCACTGGCCAGCCAGCCTAGCTCACTTGACCAGTTCCAACACACACACACACACACACACACACACACACACACACACACAAACCCAGAAAGCAACTGAGAATTTGTTTGTGGTGTCCCCATTTCCCAATGTTCAGACTACAGGGCATGCTCTAGAATGCTAGCTGAATGATTAATTTCCACAACTGAAAATGGAACATGAGCTTGTCCAAAGCCTGGATGGTCATGATGAGACCCTACGATGGGGCCATGTGGACTTCGGTCTGTGCATCACTGTCCAGCCTCTGTGACTCCAACCCTTGTCACAGATCCATGAACTGATTTTGAGCCTTCCTTTTTCTTTGTTTGTGTTCTTGGCCTTCAGGTTGCAAAGGTCATTCACATTTTACTCTCAGAATGCTTCCAGAAAACATGAATATGGAAAATTCCAAACTAGTCCCATTAAAGAATATTAAATATTCTCATTAACAGACAAAATAGTAACTTTCTATATCAATACCCTACACTGTCTACAAACCTGGATACTTTAAAAAGGAATATGAGAGCTGAAAAAAACTTTAACTTGTGGTATTTGACAATACTTAAAATCCATACAAAAAGTTGGTGTGAGCCAGCTTTCTGTAACTATAGTGAATTACCTGAGTTAATTTATATATAAAGAGGAAAAGGTTTGTTTTCACTGGTGGTCTTAGAGTCTGTTTCAGTTCATGATTGAGTTGTCCCACTACTTTAACCTCTGCTGAGACAAACCTGATCATCATTTCATCATGCAGGAATAAAAACAAAACAACAACAGCAACAAAAACCAAGCGAAGAATGTGATCTTCGTCCCACAGCGCCCTTCGAGGGCATTGAACACCTACAATAACCTACAATAACCTGTGATGGTTAGCTTTAACTGTCAATTTAACACAACCTAGAATCTCCTGGAAATCTCTTGGTGTCTCAGTGAGGGATGCTCACATTGGCTTGGACTGTGAGCATGTGCATTGGGTAACTGTCTTAATTAAGTTAGTGGATACGGAGAGACCCAGCCCAAACCAGCATTCCCTAGGCAAACCATCCTGAACTGCTCCAGTGAGCTGAGCACAAGCGTGCATAGATTCACATCTCTCTGCTCTTGACCGTGGAGCTGACGAGATACTTAATGTTCCCGCCTTGACTTCTCCACACCGACGGACCGTGTGGGGCTGACGGCTGAAGTAAACCCTTTACCCCTCCACTTACTTCTTTGTCAGCATATTTTATCAAAGCATCAAAAATTAAGCTACAACATTCCTCAGTTCCTACAGGGTCTCCCACCCCCTACCCTTGTCACACTGGGGAGCAAAACTTCTCCACGTGGACTTAAGGGGATGCCACCCATGATGAACCGGCACCAAAAGGTATTAGTAATTTTCCATGAGTCACTCCCAGATCTGCGCCAACCGTGGCCAAACCGTCTCCTGACACTGTCACAACTTCTGCTCCTACTCCCTGTGCCAGATGTCTGCCCACCAGTGTTGAGCCTTCTCCCCTTCTGTCCCCAGGTGATGCTTGCTGACAGGAAGGGAACTGAGGAACTGTACGCCATCAAGATCCTGAAGAAGGATGTGGTGATCCAGGATGATGACGTGGAATGCACCATGGTGGAGAAGCGGGTTCTAGCCCTGCTCGACAAGCCCCCATTCCTGACACAGCTGCACTCCTGCTTCCAGACAGTGGTGAGGACTACGGTTCCTGTCTGACGCTCCCCATCTTGCCTGGAGGCTAGCTACATCATGGTCTCAAGACCCTCACTCCTTTAATCCAGTCTCCTTTGGACAACTAACACTGCTCATCCTTCATGACAGTAGTGATTACATTATGTTAGAAATAAAATAAATAATCTCTAGAGATGATTTGTGTCTATGGACACATGTGCATGAATTAAATACAGACACTTTAAATAAGGGGCCTGCAGGATCTGGGTGTCCATTAGGGTCCCACATGTAGCTGTATGTGAAAGGTCTTCTTCATGTCGGCTCTGTGCTAAGACTTAAACAAAACAGTTGTAGATTCATAGTCCTGCCTTCTTTTTTAGCAAACCAGGCTGGCCTTGAACTCAGAGATCAGCCTGTCTCTAGTTCCCAAGTGCCGTGACTAAAGGTGTGTACCACCATATCTAGCTGGCCCTGCCTTTTAAAGATCCTTGATCCTGCTGCCATGCCCAGCATTGGAATGGCAGGACACTTTGTTTCCTAAGGAGCATGTCTCTGTATAATGACACAGCAGGAGGTGCCGGCTATGACCTGTCCTGCAGCCCTCAAGCTGTGAGAAAGGTCACAAGAAATAAACCCAAGCTATAATATATTTCCCAGCATATGAAATTCAAATTTTAACATTAGGAAGTCACTTTCTAAGGACAGAGCTACACCCGTCCACTTTCCTGTCACCTGCTGCTGCTTCCCCACTGTGAGGGCCAAGCTGAAGAGTGGGAAACATGCAAATTCTGCACCTACTATCTGTCCCTTCACAGGAAAAAGATCTGCTGACCTTAGGCACAGAGTAAAATTAAAAAGAAATGTTCAAATTACCAAGACACCAGCTATGGGGCTTCCTGGTCTCCACACAAATGTGCGTTCTAAGATGCCGCACTGAGGGGTTCTCCACCTCCAAACCCCGCTTTCAAAGGGAGCAGCTGTCAGGTCTTGCTCCCCTGTCAGCTACAGTTTCAGTCACTGCCTCATGTAAAACTACCCTGTGGTCAGAATCTGGTCCACGCTTAGATCTGTCCTTTTAAAATCCTGGGAAGCACCCTAAACGCCTTTGGAAGCTCAGAGTCTCAAAATGGGGGATTTCTGTGGGCACGGTGTGCGCCGAGCCTGCAATGCTGGCACCGGCCACTGTGTGTCAGCCTTGCACTGGTCACGTAGTCGACTCCAGCCCTCTTGAAGAACCAGAGAGAACTAGTGGGAAGGTAGGAGGGAGGCTCCCCCAATCCCGTTCTGTGACCCTTCGTGCACTGTGCAGCTCTGGAAAACTACAAAGAAAAGAAGGAACTGAAGCCAGAGCGTGGAGTTCCCACAGCCCTTTCCGGGCTGGTAACACCAGCTCCATCATCTCTCCCTCCCCGAGCCTCACTTTAATGTGTAATAGCCCCGGTGTAAGGGGTTGGGGGTGCTTTCTGGAATTGAAGTCAGCTCTTACCACGCTCTGTTGTGCTGGTGGTTATATCCCCCCCCCCATTAAACTGCCTGGTCTCTTCCATCTGTCCCAGCATAATGGCCTCATAACTGTGCAGACTTACTTGACTCAGTGATATATGCCCCCTTCGCCTTCACGGTGGAGGCAGCTCTTAGCATACCAGTGACAGAAATTTTTTAGAAAAAGGCAATATTTGAGCACATTCTGGAGGCAAAAGAATATTGATTAAAATCTCGTTTTATGGTGCACCCCTCCCCCCAAACCACTAAATAGCATCACGTGTGTGTTATTTATGAGTCAACGTAACCCCAAGAGATATGTTTTCAGAAGCATTCATATAAGCACCCTACTTCATTAGCCTGGCATTGCTCCTGGACATCGCAAGCCATCTTTTACACATGCGCACCACCAATGACATGGGTTAAGATGAAATGACAGGCCCGGTGTAGGGTCTTCACACCACCACTAATTTAGAGATTTATTATCCATATGGGGTAGGTCTATATGGGGGAAGGGAGCGAGTGTTTGAAGCCTTTAATGAGGTGCATGCCTGACCATAGGCTGACATAGTCGTCAGCTGCAGGTTTATGAATGCACCATATCCTTCCCCCACCCTGGGACAAAGATCGTGACGAACACCCAACAGAGCAGATCTGTCAGGGCCACCCCGTGTTTGCTAGGAGCTGATGAACTCTGCTGGGGAAGGACCCTACTCACGTGTAAACTTTGGTCTACAGGACCGGCTGTACTTCGTCATGGAATATGTCAACGGCGGGGACCTCATGTACCACATCCAGCAAGTCGGAAAGTTTAAGGAGCCGCAAGCAGTGTGAGTATCCTTATCTTTAGTCACTTTTTTTTTGAGTCTTGAAACTCAGTCTAATACTCCCAACTGAGAACTCCTTCTGGATAATATGTCCAAGGGTGACTCTGCTCACTTGGGTCTCAGGTATGAAACTTCCGAGAGGAGCAGCTGAGCTGACAGGACCCACGGACAATAGATATTTCTAAGGACCATTGATTCTGTTCTCAGCAAATTGAACATATGGATGCCCGCCTCCGGCAAGAGTGTAAAGGGAATGTGAGGCCCAGCCCTTGGAGAGTCCGTGCTCTCACGTGGCATTAGAAAAAGCCACCGAACAATTCTGGCACCCTACAGATTTACAGAGAGTACCACTAACACCCCAGAATTGGAGAGTAGATGCAGCACAAAACTGGGGCACCCCCCAACCCAGAGGTGAGAGGCACCATCCAATGTGAAGAGACAGGGAGCCAAGTCCAGGGAGTGGCCTGCAGCTCAGGTGGAGCGGGGCTAGAGGGAATGAATGCAAAGCATGCTGGGAGTGCAGGGGACGGGAGAGAGAAGGGCCTAAGTTCTGACAGAGCCCACTGGTTGGGGCAAGAAGGAAAATATGGGTGGGGCTGGTGCGAGGGAATCCTTGGGAACCACCACAGGGAAGAAGAAATGGAGCTGGAATTGGGTCTTTATTTTCAAGGAATATTCTAGAAGAGGAAAAGCCAAAGTTGGTGATTAAGTCAGGAGAAGAAAAACCTCTTTAAAGTGACATCACAGGGCAGGGGAAGGGCACCGTCCAGGAGGAGGGGAGCCTGTCTTGGAACGTCACATTGGGATGTGCCTTACTTGTGGGGAATGCAGGAGCAGAGAAACGGGAACCTGAGGAGTCATCCATCCACAGGGTGGGGGAGGGACACGGATACCTGCGCTCTTTCCCCTCTCCTGGGATCCAGGAAGTCTGCAACTTAAACAGAAGCAAACTGAGCAAGAGCTGTTCCAGACCTAGAGGCCGAGGCACAGTGGGCCTGCGCCCATTAGTTAAGTCAGCAAATGGGAATAGGATCGGGGCCCACGCATGGTCTGAGACATAAATCACGGGAAGCCAAAGCCTGTGTTGGATAATCTGCACCAGAAAGATTAACTGGACGCAGATAGGGAGCCCTTTAGTCAAAAGCTTTAGCAAATATAAAGGGGGACTTTTCAGCTTTTATTTCTACTAAAAAGAGATTATTGTATTTTTTTGGAAACACCTGCCCTTACCCCCCTCGTTGTACATCAGAGTACTAAGATGCTCGGATTGTAAAATAAAGCTTGATAGCCCAAAGTCAGAAAAAAATAAAGGTAGCAGATTGGCCGTCTTATGTCACAAAGCAACTGGACAGTGCCTCGTCTGATGCCCTTCCCTTTCTGTGCTGGAGAGAAATTAAAAATAAAGGAAACAAGGAAAATAACATGAAAATCACCTGCGATCTAATCTCTTCTCCCGGCCCCCAGCCTTGTACTGGCCTCCCCTGCCAGCCCCCACTAAGAACTTGCTCTTCAGCTTCCCTCTACTCTGCAGCTACTGTGTTTATTTTAAGCCTCCCGGGGTGTATTCACCCAGGCGTGGACTTGTGGCTCCTTGGACTTCAAAGGCTCCCCAGTGCTATGCAAATTTTAAAACATCATTCTGCATTTAATCCGAGTTCCAGATATTAACCTATTAATGATTTTGTAGTGATGGTAATGACTGTTTTTATTATGAATTATTTAAAAGGGCAAACTCAGGCATGAATCACGGTGCGTGTCCCATTTATTCCGTCCAGCACTCAGAGAATGAATTAAGCAGCTAGAGTGTACAGCACGCCCGAGGCTTTGTCTTCCAGGAGTGGCTACATTCTCAAACAATAAAATCTGCTTGGTTCGTGTGCTGGAGAATCGAAACTCTTGCCCCTCAACTACTCTCCTGACATAGGAGAGTCTCACAAGCGTTCATTCCTTAAATCTTTATATTAGAAATTATTTTGTAAGGAATAAATGAGCTGCCCACCTTCCTCAGAAATGAAAAATAAGCTTTTATAACTGGAGAAATGAGACAGGTGCAGATCCAGCTGCGCAAAGCAGAGGTGTAGGGTGATCTCAGACAGTGTTAGGATCTATCTATCTCTCTATCTACCTATCTATCTCTATCTCTCTATCTCTCTATCTCTTATATCTCTCTGATGCCCCAACAAGAGTGGAAGTATCCAGAAAGCCCAAGAAGCCAGCTGTCTGAAGCACACTTTCTTTTACAGATTCTACGCAGCCGAGATCTCCATCGGATTATTCTTTCTTCATAAAAGAGGAATCATTTACAGGTGTGTTTCAAAGTTCTTCCTGCAGCAGAATTGTGGAGAGGTTTGGGGAGCCTCTGTGGGCAGGGGACAGATTCTGTGATGGAACTCCGGATGTGAAGTCTACAGACCCTTGGGAGCACAACTGCTGAGACCCATCTGCTTCTACAGCCACAGGGCAAACCAGAACCACTGTCTTGTTTCTAGGCTCAGAGATGTTACACGTCTCTTTTCTGCAGCTCATGTCTGCCTCCTCCGTCTTTTATCTGAGCAGAGGTCAGAAAGCAGCAGAAACTAGATTGTCAGTCACAGCAGGCGAAGGAGCTGAGAGGGAAGGAGGGAGGGAAACGAGGACTACTGAATCAAGTACATTGGGGTTGCTGTGAAAGTCCACTACAAAAAAAGAAAAAATACCCCTAATAAGTAAGAAGACACTGGCTCTGGCAGGATAGAAGGACATGGAAGGTAGCTCTAAACCTGTCATTTGGGATACCTAGCTGTTTGTGTTCCCACTTCTGTGTAGGATATCAATAAATCAAATGCCTGGCATCTCCCCAAACCTGGTCACTTGGCATCCCTGGATATGTACCCACAGACCTGAATGGGAATCGGTAATTCAACCATTTATCATTCATTTGGCATTTAAATATCTACCACATCCCAGGCTCCCCATCAGGCTCTGGAGAAAGAAAGACATGGCACTGCCTTGTCCCTTGGTCTCCAGGACTTGGCATGTGCGCGTCACTAAGACGAGCTAGGCAAACATCCTTATACGTCATCAGCTGCAAGCAAATCCAGTCATGTCGTGGCACGGCCTCTGACACTCGCCTGCTCCCTCGCAGGGATCTAAAGCTGGACAACGTCATGCTGGACTCAGAAGGGCATATCAAAATCGCTGACTTTGGGATGTGCAAGGAACACATGATGGACGGAGTCACGACCAGGACCTTCTGTGGGACTCCAGATTACATTGCTCCAGAGGTAAGCGGCCCCAGTCATTGTTGCCAGTCTACAAACACATACCCTCGTCTTCAGTCATGTGTGGGTGGTGACCACGGTGTCAAGTAGACAAAAGACACTCAAATAGGAAAAAGAAACCAACATGCTCATCAGCACACAGTGAGGCTACGTTCTATTTCCCTGAACTTCTGTTTCTGTTCTGTGCATCTGTGAGGCAGTCGAGTGGTAAACTGTCTCTCTTGAAAGCCTCGGTAACAGTAATTTCAGAGACACTAGAGTTAGGGAAATTTGCTTGTGTATACAATTTGCCTGTAAATGTTGAGTGAGAAGGTAGTCACCATCATGGCTTCCTAAGCATCCTGAGTGATGGGGACTCTTGTCTACATGGCACCATAATTCAAATGTGTGAAGATACAGTCGATGTGGCTAAAAGCATAGTCAGTTTCATGGTTTGTATATGCAATAGGGGCCGAGGTGCCTAGTCTTCAGTATTGTGTGTACTGAAAAGATCTCTTTCCTATTTCAAGAAGCTTCCTATATGCCAATAAAAGAGTTGGTTACAGCCCTGGGCCATTGTGTAGACATGTTCTGTCCAGACCCAGCCCATGGACACTGAAGTCTTTTCTCATCCTTGCTCCAGCGTGGTGGGAATGTGGGCTCACAGTGGAAAGTGGGCTAGCCTCAGCTCTCCACGGAGCCACTGTTGGCATATCCCACATCTGTTCAACCTAATGGCCATGAGTTGACCTCAGATACAAGGATGGTAAGAAAGGTCAGTTCAGAAGTCAGACCCATGTGAGCTTTAAGCATGGCTGTTATCTATAGGCCGTAGGGCCTCAGGTCAGTTTCTTAACCTCTGTGCCCTCCCTGCTTTCCTCAAGTCAGTGATAGTAAGAAGTGCCCTGAGAAGGCACCCAGCAGACCCTCACACTCCACTAGTTGGCCTGGCGGGAGTCATTGTTCCCTAGGGAAACTGAGCTCTTGCTTGTGGTTTAGTCTGCAAATAGACTTTAATTACAAATTCAATTTTAAGTTATATTTACTGTGTGTACACATGTACGTGTGTGCATGCACATCACATCACCCATCTAGAAGTCAGAGAGGAGGGAGGCGGGTCTCCCCTTCCACCATATGAGTCTCAAAGATAAAATTCTGGTCATCAATCTTGGCAGCAAGAACCCCACTTACTGAGCCATCTAGCTGGCTGCATAAATTCCGACTTTGAATGACACGGCCACGGGTGTTATCCTGGTATTTAACTAACTAGGTTCTCTTGGGGTAGAGGACGCTGGCCATGACTACCTCCAGTCACACTGTGAGCTTATACAATCACATTTTTAAATGTGAAGAATAAAGTACAGTGAAAAGTAGAGCCTTTGACTGCATCATACCTTCTGAAGCCTCCTACGGCTGACAGGTACGGGGAAGGCTCTGGGTAAGATCCTACCAACTCCCAGGATGCCTGATGACAAAAGGTGGCAGCAGCGTGTCTAGGTATGAAGGTGGCTTTGAACTTCCTCTCCATGAAGACTAGGCTTCTGGTGATCAAACTCAAGACTGCTCATGGCTGCAACACTTTAGCTGTCTGCTCTAACCAGGGATGGCACTCATCCACTGATAGAATCACCTATATAATTAAGCTTTGTCCATTTGAGGAACATTTATTCTGTTCACTATAGGAATGTCCTGTTGCTGGTGTAAGCATGAACTTAGTAGTCTAGAGGTGAATTTAAGGGGTCTGGGGTGTTAGAATGTCAGAATACCTGCCTAGCATGCTCAAGCTCTGGATTCAACCTAGCACCACACATACACACATATAAAATTTTAATGCAAAGTTCTAATGGCTAGAAAATCAATATTATTCTTTCTGGAGCTAGGGGGATTTACTTGTATACAGAATCAGCCTGTGACTGTCCAGTGAGGTGGTAGTCACGGTCATGGCTGGACATCCCCACAGTGACAGACTGGAACCTGGAACTGAGCTGAAATAAACCTTCTCCCCTAAGCTGCTTTTTGTCAGGGTGTTTTATCGCAACAACTAAGCAGGAATAGAGGACACCAGGCTGCCTTCTTCCTTTCCTACCTCCTGCCGACCCATGCTGTGATTATAGGCATGGGCCACCGTGCCCAAGCACAGGTTCATATTCTAGAAACTCGCTGTACCAAGTGTGATGCCTCCAGGGTCTCTGCCCTTCAGTGCTGACAGTTCAGGAAGGAAACATTCCTGAAGCCACAAGCTATGCCTAGCTTTCTCTCACTGTCCAATTGGCTCTCATTGAAAACACAGGCAACGCTGCCTGGGAAAATCAGGAGAGACCACCATGAGGTTCTCTCTCCAGCTCTCCTCCAGGCATCCCCACACCCGACACACACGGCCCCAAGAATATTTACAGTTTAGGGAGAAAACCAAATAGGTTCAAGGTTTCAGAATTTGCTCAAGGGTTAAACTAATTCTACCATCTGTGTAAATCTTCCTGTCAGGCAGAAGGAACATAATCATCTTAGATGGCATTTTCCCTAATAGGCAAAGCAAAGGCTGAAATATTTATGGCTATTTGTTCGAAAACCTTGAAATCGATTTATACTGTGGCATCTCCCTAATGGTTGAAGATGGGTCAAAGTGAAAAATCACTCACAGATACAACTCGAGAGTGAAAATGAAAACCCGCGGAGGAGTATGTCTTAGTTGGGGTTTTACTGCTGTGAACAGGCACCATGGCCAAGCCAACTCTTATAAGGACAACATTTAATCAAGGCTGGCTTAGAGGTTCAATGGTTCAGTCCATTATCATCAAGGTGGGAACAAGACAGAGTCTATCCAGGCAGGAATGGTGCAGGAGGAGCTGAGAGGTCTACATCTTCATCTGAAGGCCTCTAGGAGAGGACTGGCTTTCAGGCAGCTAGGATGAGGGTACTAAAGCCTACACCCAGTGACACACCTACTCCAACAAGCCACTCCCTGGGCAAACTATATGCAAACCATTACAGGGTACTAATTAGAAAATAATCCTAGAAGCCAACATGAGGGCTGTCTCGGCTCTGACATAACAGGAATTCCCTGAGTCCACAAGAGTCCTTGAGAAGACTAGTCACAAGTCATGTACCCCTCTGCAGGCTCAAGTACCATCAGGAGAGGTGCTGATCACAAGATCACGAGTCTCTTCTCCTGGGTCTCTAGTCTCCCCCCTCTGTAAGTTACCTCACGGCATCCACCTTTGTTGATGTTAGGAGCTCCTGGCCCTCTTCCTTAACAGATACTGTATCATCCTTTGGAGCCTACACTAGGAGGGCTCTCCCATCTTCCTCTCCCATTGGCTTCTTTACTATCAATCTTGATGCCTTGTCCTCCCTCCTCACCAGTGTTGCCTTCTTCTTTCCTTCCATAAAGTGGCTGGCCAGTGTCCTTCCCTGTACTCCTAAGGCAGCGGGAGGGAAGCCTGTTTGTAGTATGTCGCACATGGAAATCCTTGAACCCTTGATAACACAGGGGATGTGCTAACTTGCCAGAGAACCTCTCCCATGATGTGTTGTCTCTGCTCTGTCCCAAGTCTCCTGAGCACATCTTTATCAGGATATTGAGGCTCTGTGATTTGTACAGAATCTCACACCTGGTTACAGGGAAGGTTAGATTTGGATCCTAGATCTGACCCCAAAGACGACCATATACATTTTCTTTTTTGTATATCAGAGATAATATCCATATATATATATATATATATATATATATATATATATATATATATATATGTTGTCTAGAGTCATGAAGTAAAGCAATTTACTTTTTATTGGATATTTTATTTATTTACATTTCAGATGTCATCCCCTTTTCCCATTTCCCCTCCCTAGAGCCCCCTATCCCATCCCCCCTCCTCCCTTTTGCTTTTATACCATTTTAATTGCATGCAAGTATTAAGGTCAGTTCTAGGTTGAGGGTCTAGCAATACAATAGATGCAAATAGTCAAGGAACAAGCAAGACAATAAACACAAATAGTCAAAGAACAAGCAAGGCAATAAGCCCAGTTAAGTGAACACTCCCATGATCACTGTTTCTAAGGGTTTATCAGGATGATCAAAGTATCTGAGCCTACTTCCCTGTCCTAGCTCAAGGTCATTTTCATGTCTGAAGCCTACTTCCTTGTTCTAGCCTAAGATTTAGATTCCTGTCTGAAATTACTTCTTTGTTCTAGCCTAATGTCTGATTCCTGCCTGAAGCCTACTTCCTTGTCCTTGGCCAAAGTCATATTCCTGCCAAGCAGCCCATTTCCTTGTCCTTGGCCCATGTCCCATTCTTGCCGAGCAGTCCCAAAGGTTCTCCTCCTCTCCCCCTTTTTTATTTCATTAACAAGACTAAGCCTGTCTTAGATTGTTCTGACAAGAATGCCTTCCTTACTCATCATGGAATATGCATTATCCAAAGCAATGCACTTCTGTCTTAGTTTGGTAAGGCTCTGTGCAGAATCTTACCTGTCCTTGGCTTGCCAGCCTGTTAATTTAATAACTGTGTCTGGGGGTTAGTAAAGCAATTTGAAATGAGTATTTAGGGTCTGGGAGATGGCTGAGTGGGTAAGGTACTTGCTACTCAAGCATACAGACCTAAGTTCAGATCTCCAGCACCTCTGTAAAAGCCAACCACAGAAGCACACTTCTATAATCGAGGTACAGAGATGGGAGGATCCCAGAGGATGAGCACTAGGTTTAGTAAGAGGGCCTGTCTCAAGATGGAGAGAGACTGAGGAAGACAGTGTTAACATCTTACCTCCACAGGCACGCGTGCACACACACACACACACACACACACACACACTAACATAATTAGGAACCGGACCTTATGTGACCTGGAATCAGGCACTAAGCTTTGGTCAGAAACAGCATCTAGGGGTTTTCTAGCCAGCCACTAGTGCTAAGCCGATCCCATAGAACCCACCAGCAATCTAACAACATGTAATCCACCACCCAGCACACAGAACCAATCAGTCAGAATATTCATCAGGTGCCTCTGTCATTTTCTGGGGATGCCCTT